AAAAAAAAAAAAAAAAATAGACTTTCGCCCTTTCTATATTTTCCTTAAATATATTTCAATTATATACACTTATAATTATTGAATAAATGAATTTTAAGGTGTTGTAAAAACTAATAGCCTAATAAACCGAATCTATAGATATCATTATATTTAATGCATCATTTGTGTATAAATGTATTAAATGTACGTACCATTTGCTTTATCATATACATATATCAGATATATATTTTTATAAATTTATTACTCACCTTAACAGCAGCCGTGCCTGAAATGGCGCCCAGACACTGGAAGACAATGTAGAAGATGGCGCGCAGCACGCTGATCCGTCCCGCTACCAGCATAGCCACGGTAACGGCTGGATTGACATGGCCACCGCTCAAATGGCCCACGATCTAGGGGAATGATTAGCAATCAGTTATCAATCAGTCAATAGCACAGTCAAGCTTTGCTCACCGTAATGGCCATGAAGACACCCAGGCCAAAGGCCAGCGCCTTGAATGTGCCATCCTCGGGCTGTGTGCACGCTCCGCAGGCAAAGAAGTTCAATATGAGATTGCCAATGAACTCGCCGATGAGCGCCTGCCAGAGACGCAGATCCTTCGACTTGAACTCATTGAGACCCAGCGAATACTCGAACTTGCCCATCTTCTCCAGGTGGCGGTCAGCTAGACAATGACGCACTGCAACAACCAAGACACGAGACACAGTCCAAGAGCTCTATTAATAATGTATGTGCACTCTCTGCTCGCATTTGAGCAATTGTCAAGCATAAGTGGGCGATGACCGCATTTGAATGCAGCTCTTAATACGGGCCACAGACCAGCCGGACTCGATGCGAATATGAATGAGTAATGTCTATGACAGCCATATCCGTTTGATGACATCGTTGTCATGCTACCTAATTGGTTTTCCGACACCTCCACAGTTACATTTGCAGCTATAGACACGGGCAATTAAATTGACTGCCGGAGAAGCGTTTAGATATGCATTCCATTGCACTGAATGGGGAAAATACCCATATAATAGTCATGTATTTTATGTATATCTTCTTCTCAATCCGCTTCTTAATGTCTTTGAATATGTGGCTTTCATTGGTTTGCAGAGCAAATTCTGGAGCTAGAGCTTCAATTGAATTGATAAAACTAATAGAAGAATAGAATTCTGGAGCAATTGGCATAATTAAGTGTTAACAGAATGTTGGCGATTGGGAAGAAAAATACTTCCGTAAGTTTAGTGGATGAGTAATATGCAATTAAATTCCTAATTCATTGTATCCAAGGAGAAATTAAAACCAACTTTTGATACACTTTTAACTTATAAAAGAAAAATTATTAACACTTTATTAAACACTTTATAAATTATTTATTGCTCTACAAAAGTAAACCTATGCAAACACTCCACACACTTTAAGTTTTCTACACTTGTGTTAATCGACTTTTAACACTTCATTTCCGACACCTCCAGCACTCTACAATCTTAAGGTTCACAAGTATTTATACACCGCCAACACTTTCGACACTCTCTCCACAACCTTAACCCCCTCAACGGTTTCGCCACACTGTATACTTTCTATACTTTAAAGTAGAATACTCAACACTACTCTACATACATATGTTTCACTAGCAACACTCCTTATGCCTCTATACTACCACATCTACATATACTAAGCATTCGACTCCTCACTAAGAACTCCCAAACACTTTATGCTAAATTCTACACTTGACATGTGTTACATACTCTACATACGTTTCACTCTCTACACGTCCTACACTCTCTACATTATCCTCTATATATTCTGTATACGTTTCACTCTCTACATTTTTTAAATTCTCAACGTACTCTATGGAATCTACGTACCCTCCACACTTTGTACACACTCTGCGCATTCAATACGCTCTACACACTGCACTTACTTGACGCACTTTACACTTTCTACACAGTGTATAGTACACACTCAAAGTACTCCATATACTCTACTACTCTACACTCTCTACGCACTATATACACTCTACATCCTCTTTACCCACCACTACATTCTACTCTTAACTCTTAAGTCTTTACTCTACTCTACTCCATTTATACACTCTACACATCCCACTCTCCACTCTACTCTACACACACTCTTAGGTACGCTGGCCTTAGACGTCACTTAAATGGCAAATAAACATATGAAAAATTGTTAATTGAGCATTAAGCAACTATTGGCTCAACTGCGTATTGTGGCGATTACATTATCAGCATATAGAATGGAGTGCTATTTGCATAATTGGCAACAAGTCGCGAAATTGGGGTAAATATTAAATGATAAATATTGACTGCAGAGCGGCATATGTATGTATAAGTATTTGAGGCTTAGCCTAATTGAATGCATGATTCGAATCTCTGGCCCCCTCGCCCTCACCCTGCCTGGAGAGTATCATTTTATGCGTTTGCCCTTGAACCTCAACCACACGTGGCTCGGATCTGGGGGATTGGCTACAGCAGCTGGAGCCTCTGTCCGTCTCCCTCTCTCTTTCTCTCTCTCTCCCTTCCCTTGCAGAGTGGAACGTAAGTACTTGAGCCGCAGCCTAATTGATTAGCCATAACTGCTGCCCCTCTTGACCTTCCTCCCTACCCCCATCATCCGCCCTGCCTGCTTATGGTCGGGTCGTCTGTTTGCTTTTCGTATTTGGTGCAAGTGTTGCTCGCAATACGGTCAAGAGCAGTTGCCAGGCCAAAAATGGGTTACAAGCGGTTGGCCATGCCATCGCAAAGCAACATAACAGACACAACAACGACAGCAACAACAACAATCATACTTTACTTTAGATGAAACGCATGATAAATGTGTTCTAAGAGCCAGAGACTTGCCATAAATATCAATCAACGATTACGCAATGCTGAGTTCGAAATGAAAACTTTAGACTTGGAAACAAGATTTTATTTTTGTATTTTTTATGCAAGTTTTCAATATATTTATTTTTGCTTTTTTTTATATTTATTGTATAATTTTAATGCAAGTCTGTATATGTAAAGCTCACAGTTAGAACTCTGAATACCCTGTAAAAATTAATTTATAAGAGAAATAGATAGAGAGAAAGAGGAAGAGACGGACAGGAGCAGTAAACAAATAGAGATAAATTATTAGTAATAATTTCCTAAGTTATGTTAAGTTTATCTAAAGAAATTGTCAAAAGAATTCCTTACAGATAAGCTCAATTTTTGATTACAGGGTATGTGAAGGCAGGGCACTTTCTCGACTGTTGCCAGTGACGTTTGAGTGGGAGCTTGTAATATATCAATATATCAGACACATGACTTCAAGTGCTCTTTTGCTATCGATTCCCATTCGGCATTCGAGTTTAATTGCCGGCCGTTAATAGATAAATGTTCGAGGTGACATCTTGTTTGGGACTTGCCATAAATTCAGATTGTTGAATTGACAAAGATATTGTCAATTACTTGACAACAGTTGGCGCACCTCAAACTCGACGTTCTTTAAGTTGCATCTAAATTTCTTACGATTAATCAAAATAGCTCGAGCAACTGCTGATTACTCGTAAATCGTATGTTAAAACTCTTCTAAATTCTTAATTTTGGAAATTATTATAACTTTGCTATAACATAAATCAATTTAAAAAAATATTATATAAATAATTCATAATTTATTTYTGGCTTACATTAATTCAATACATTTTTTATGTGGACATTTTTTTATTTATTATTTTATTTATTTATGCCATTAATCCTAATCCATAATCCTTCCATACTACTTTACTTCCAAAATCGTCAAAACCATTTCATATTACGCTTTATCTATACTCTGTTCTTATGATGTAAATAGAGTATATTGACTCACATAAAAGCTTAGAATAATTTATACTCACACGCTCTGTAGATAACATGTTGAGATTATAGCACTAATCGAGTCTATTTAAAACTAGAATAATCAAACATATGTATAACTACTGCTACTTGGCTTGCCCATGAGTTTTCTGACTCTCATAGATTCTGTTAGGGTATTACTTGGGTAAGTTATTTGTCATAAAGATTATTCATCTAACAGCACCTTGGACCATAAGAATTTTGTAATTATCTTTATTACTTAAAACGAATTATACATTTAATGAGTATTTCCCACAGAATTTTTCAATTAAATATTATGGGTATTACGATGTGTCTAAGCGACATTCCAATGCTACTATTGTTAATCAGAGTTAATAACCTTTATATTTTTTTTTTTGTTAACACCTGCCTCACAGTATATTTATCAATTCAATCCTCTCAAGTGGCAATGATAGCGTGTTCCAGTTCTACAATAGTTATAATTAATCAAGAGAAGCTTATCTCTTACCGATTAGTTTTAGCAAATAGAAATAGAAAACATGCCAATCCGTTCTTATTTCTATTTGTTACATTTTATTAGCCAAAATCAAGTTCATGTGCAAATATATATTGTATTTAATAATTCTATAATTGCGCTCGTGCGTGATATTTTGTTGATTTGAAAATCGTGTAGTTTGCTCAATGTTTGCTCAACAAATTAACGACCCGCACACAAATTAACTGAATTCTTGCACACAAATGAAACAAAAGACGCCGCCGCTACAAATAATTCCAACTGCGAAACATCTATAATCGGAATACTGCATTCTGACACCTTCCGAATCGTCAAACGAAAAAAAATGAAAAATGAAAAATAAAATAAAATAAAATACACGCATACATTTGAAAGAAATTCCAGAATCGGCACACAAAAGTTCATGAACTGTGTCAGGCAGTCGATCACATTAAATTAACTAACAATATAATAAATTCAATTCAAGAACCAAGTAATTAATTTAATTTGAATTGACACAGCTAATGATCTCATTTGATAATAGCTATTCAATTTATTGGTGGCATTTGCTCAATATTACGATACAAATTTTATGTTAAATGAACAACATATAAAATAAGATATAAATAAGAAACAAATTTAATAAATATTATAAAACTGTCGCCGCCATAGAAATTTCTGATCTAATGTCAATGCAAATTATTATATGACTTTCAAGGTAACTGTTATACGATAGCAAACTTATTTAAAATGCCTGTCCGTAAGATTATATTCAGAGTACACACTGATGTAAATATGATAAATATTGTTGCATGTATACAAAGTGTTATACTGCTAAGCAGCTTAACTTAATGATCTTTTTATAGTTTACATAGTGCTATACTTGAAGCCAGTTCAGTAAATAGTGTAGTATACGGCGTATATACGACGTGCTACAGTGATAATCTTACAGTGATAAATTGTTATATTACAGAAAACAGAGAGAAGAATATATTGTAAATACTCTATGTAAATATTGACTATTAACCCCAGGTGATATGAGTGATATAGCATAAAATATGTTATACTTAAGACCAGTGCTCAAAATATTAAACATTACTACTGACTGAAGACATGTTTCATATGATTATCGTATACATACAATTGTTATCCATGCCCTAAATATTCAATTGTAGACGATGATCACATGCCTGCTATATAATCATTGTATATATATAAAGTGTTATACTCGAATTTTCGAATTATTATTTCCAGATGCTGATAGCATTCTTATATGCTGCATTGAAGTGCTTTGCTGAAGATCAGTGCCAGCCAATGCTCAAGGCTGATGACAAGTCTTGCCATATGCTCATCGCATACACACAAACTGTTCTACTGAAGATAAGCCGCAGCCCCCTGAGCAAAGTCTCTCCATTTGTAGAGGCTGATGACATGCCTTGATATTATCGTCACATGCCACAGTCGCAACTTTGTCACTTAAATAGACATAAAACTCACTTAAGCCTCAAATAGAAATTTGTATGCAGCGCGAGAAAAAAAAGTTTGCATTGCGTTCGAGCTGAGTTGGAGTAACAGATGTAAAATAAATTAAACATAAACCATTAAATCCCAAACTAAGGCCGGCCACGTAACTGAAATAATCTGATTATTCTCTGTATAAACACACGGTATGATTAGTTTCTTTAATTAGCTGCACAATGGAGCTCAACTTTGTAATATGTAAATCTGTTATATTTGTATAGCTAAATTCGCATGATTACACGCATCGCCGCGCTCACAATAAAGGGGTCTGGTTTGTAGACCGACACATATATTTATATATCTAAAGTAATTTCTGTGGCTATAAATTCAGCATTTAGTCTAATTTCATTTTTATTTTGATGTATAAATAAATTTGTTTATAGCAATGCATCATTTTCTAATGAAACTCATATCTTTACATCTTAATTTTTCATGTAAGCATTTTCTCAGAATGCTTTGTTCTCTTCATTTCGTTCTTCTGATTCAATTTACACTAAAGTCGAAGACAATTTAATTTTTTTATGATCTCACGTAGGTTTTGAGTCCAAAATTATGTGTCTTGCTGAGATCATATTTTGGGATTGGCGGTCAAAAGAGCAGCAAGTAAAACGAAAGCATAGTTAAGAAATGAGATCAATAGCAAGGTAATAAAATGGAATACACAGTTCTGAGTGTATAACAGCAGGGCGAATGTGTGCGTGTAGACGCAATTGTCACACTCGAAATCCTACGTTTTATTTATATTTTGTATGTGGGGCAATTTTAGTATATGATAGAAGATTTGTGGAGAGTGGAATAAAAAATATAATAGTATAACAGTAGTCAGCATATGTGGGATGTACTCCTCTTTACTCAGTTACATATAACACTTTTATAACTAGTTAAAAGTACGCAAGGAAGATATTTGAGAAACAAAATAGAAAATATAATTTATAAGTGCAAGATAAATTTAGTATTTTGTTTATATTTGTATTATATTCTATTCTGATTACGATGCATAAAGCATAGCAAATTAATGGCAAGTTTAGCAAACGAAATGAAGACTTGTGCAAAGCGTAGTATGAAATAGTATAACAGAAGGTAAAATGTGCATTTGTTAATTGGCAAATTCGATACGTTTTGTTCCAGCATATTTACCTTGTTTTATATACAATAGTTCTACAACAATCTCAACAGCTTATTGACACCTCGGAAACATGCAATAAATGCCACCTTTTCAATTATGTACACACCGAAATGTTTAAAACTCACAAAAGACTCAACGACAATATTAAACTTATCTAGGCAGGAGTCGATCAGACCTCCTCTAAACGATCCGCGCACTTGGACTTAACAACAAACACTGCGCGCCATAAAAACCGCAAAGTTCGAAGACGGCGAACACAAAAAGCAAAAAGTTAAGCGCACTGCGCTGCACAGTGGGCCCCATCTATTGAAAAATGAATGAATTGAAATCATAGTATTTATGTTTAGATTTATTAAACTCATTTACTGACTAGCCACCATAATTGCTACTACGATTGTTTATAGCTTACATTAGTCATAATCATAAAAGTTCAAGATGAAATCGTAAATTTTTATAGTGAACAATTTTATTTTTGTACTTCTTATCAGCAAAGACTTTTTTACTCAGCTGACTGTAAGTTATTCGCTACTTATTTGAGCTAATAAAGCTTAAGAGAATTAAATATATACATACATTTTTATTTTTTCTCAATTGTATGCCAAAATTTAAGAAATATAAAATATTTATGAT